TCATCTGTGGAAGGTGCACCCTCTCCCCGATCCCTGTCACCTGATGGGCACCCTCAGGTCCTTGGGCCTCTTCCAAAACGCCTGTCCTCTTCCACCTCCAGCCTCTTCTCCCAGGCCAGCGTGTGGGCCCCTCAGCACCCACCGCTCTCCTCCAGAAGCACGGTTTGCAGCATCTGCCCACCCTCCCTTCCTCCCAGCTCACTCCCTGCAGCACCCGTGCCCCTCGACCTGCCCCTTTGTCTTCCCCCAGCCCTTCCTCAGGCCCTCACTTCTCTCCTTGATGTTTTGAACTGGCGGCCACAGGCGGAAGTGGGCTGTGGGCCCTCAAGGCCACTGTTACAGCTCCTGCTCCAACCCTCTCTGGCAGGCCATCCAAGTGCCCAGCACCCATGGTCCCCACACCCTTCACACACAGCCAAGGTGCCCTGGGACCCACGTCTGCCCAGTGAGATGTGAGCGGGGTCAGCAGGTGGGGCGTCCAGAGTGTGGCTCGCCGATTGCTGCCTGCCCATCCTGCGCCCACCTGCAAAGGACAGCAGACCACGGTACAGATGGGCCTTCACTGCTCATCGCTGGCCATTCACAGGGAGGGACAGCCAGGGTCCCAGAACCAACGTTCCCAGACCTGGCTCAAAACAACATCCCAGAAATTTCTTTAAATTCCCAGAAAAACACGACCCAGAGCAGTCAGTAGCAAATATATTTTATTTGAGTCACTGGACTTTGGAACAAGCAGATGGGCACGTAAGCAAGGAATCCAGCTCATTTATAAGACAGAAACGAATCCGGCCTGAATTCTAAAAACAAAAACAAAACCTTTGCCCATGCCTATAAAACACGGTTGGAGACAAAACGTGATCTGAGCACTTCGTGCCCTGCACAGGGTGTTCACTCATGGGAACACGGGGATTGGCGCCATGTGCTTCCTTACGGAGCCACGGTATACACACGCAAATACATTAATATTTCATTATAAATAAGTGTACCTTCAGTAGCCTATAGATACATACTGAATGTTGAACATGGGGGTATACATGTACGTGTGTGTACATGTACACATTCAGTATTCAATATGTATAATACGGACTATTGGAGATACCATTACTTATTTAAATAAAGATAAACTTTATCCAATCAAGATAGTAATGGAAAGATTCCAACAGAGCTCTGGCTGGTGTGGCTCAGTGGATAGAGTGTTGGCCTGAGGACCGAAGGGTCCCGGGTCCTATTCCGATCAAGGGCATGTAACTTGGTTGCAGGCTTCTCCTTGGCCTGGGCCCTGATCCGGGTATGTGCAGGAGGCAACCAATCGATGTGTTTCTATTACATCAGTGTTTCTCTCTGTCTTTCCCTCTCTTTCACTTTTCTTAAAATCAATGGAAAAATATCCTTGGGTGAGGATTTAAAAAAAAAGAACGAAAGATTCCAACACAAAACATGCCCACTTAGTGTAAAACTTGGAGCCCACACTGTGAGGTGCATGAGGTGCCTACAGACAGACAAGAGCTGGCAGCCAATGAGGGCTGGGGCTGGGATATAGGAGCTGGGGATGGAGGCTAAGGATAAGGGATGGGGGCTAAGGATGTGGGATGGGGGCTAAGGATGAGGGATGGGGGATAAGGATGAGAGATGGGGGATAAGGATGAGGGATGGGGCTAAGGATGAGGAATGGGGCTAAGGATGAGCCATGGGGACTAAGGATGAGCCATGGGGGCTAAGGATGAGGGATGGAGGCTAAGGATGAGGGATGTGACTAAGGATGAGAGATGGGGGATAAGGATGAGGGATGGGGATAAGAATGAGCCATGGGGGTTAAGGGTGAGGGATGGGGCTAAGGATGAGGGATGTGACTAAGGATGAGAGATGGGGATAAGGATGAGGGATGGGGGATAAGGATGAGGGATGGGGATAAGGATGAGGAATGGGGGATAAGGATGAGGGATGGGGGATAAGGATGAGGGATGGGGCTAAGGATGAGGAATGGTGGATAAGGATGAGGGATGGTGCTAAGGATGAGGAATGGGGCTATGGATGAGGGATGGGGCTAAGGATGAGGGATGGGGCTATGGATGAGGGATGGGGATAAGGATGAGGGATGGGGATAAGGATGAGGGATGGGGATAAGGATGAGAGATGGGGCTAAGGATGAGGGATGGGGCTATGGATGAGGGATGTGACTAAGGATGAGGGATGGGGCTATGGATGAGGGATGGGGGATAAGGATGAGGGATGGGGCTAAGGATGAGGGATGGGGCTAAGGATGAGGAATGGGGATAAGGATGAGGGATGGGTATAAGGATGAGGGATGTGTCTAAGGTTCAGGGATGGGGCTAAAGCTGGAGGCTAGGCCTGAGGCCTGGGGCTGAGCTGGAGGAAAGGACCTGGCAGGGCAGAGTGGGCACCTCCCCTCCCCCATCAGGCACCAGAGGCCTGGGGAGCCCGGCAGGTGCTTCCTGAAGGGCCTGGGGTGGTCCTACCCTTTCTTCCTGAGAGGGAGATAGGAGGCCCCAGAGCAGGGTCCGCAGCAGGAAGAGCCTGCAGAGAGGGGCTGAGGGTCTGGGGAAGCCTCCATGTGCTATGAGCCGCCCCCACAAGTCTTGGAGGGCAGGACTCCCGCCCCCGAGGACAGCGCAGGCCGTACCTCCCCCATCACCCACCCGGGGCCCGGAGGCCAGAGCCCTCACCTCAGCCTCCTCCCCGACCCTGGCTGTGCCCCTCGCTGCATCTGCAGCCCCACCCTCAGGGGCCCCTCCATCTCTCCAGACCCGGATCCTGGGACCCCGCTCTGCCTCCAGTCCTGGGAGTGCTGCCCAGGACCCTGCTCTCCCTGCCCCCGTGGGAGCCCCGTGGTCCTGCTCACCATCCCATGGGCTCCCCAACCCTCTCTCTGCACCAGGCCTCCCTCCCCACATGCCCCAGCCCAACCCAAATCTGTCCACACTGGACCAGGCAGAACCTTCTAGAGCGAGACTTTATGCAAAGCCCCCGTCATGTTCAGCCCCCTCACTGGGCCCTCAGGTCTCCTGTAAATGCAGCTCATCCAGCCACCTGGGCTCTCCAGGCACCAGGCCAGCCTCTGGGCCTCCACTCGGCGGTTCCTCTGCCTGGAGTGACACAGGTGTGCACTCACACATCCACTCCTGCGCACTCGTGTACACGGACACTCATGTATTAATGTACACATGCACACACAGGTACACACATGTGCACTCATGTGTGCACGCACACGTACACGCACAAACATGCATGCGCGCACACGCACACACACACACTCACACACACGGGCTTCTCAACACACTGGGCTCTCGCCCTCCCCCAGCCAGCGGTCAGGGCACCATCGCACCCTCCCGGGCCTCGGGGCTGTGAGGCTGTGTCTGTGTCCCCCCTCCACCTCCCTGAGCACCCTGGTAGGCTGGCACCTGGCCCAGGCAGCCTGTGTTCTACCTCCCCACACCTGGGCCCTCTGAGTCCTGGTACCAGCCCCTCTGAACAGGAGCTGATGCCGTCCTCCCTCCCCTCCCTGTGGCCGGGAGTTGGGGGACAGCAGCCTGCCAGGTGTGGAGAAGGGACCCTCTCCCTGCACTGCCCTCATGAGGCCCCTCCCCAAGGACCAGACGCCCCAGGGGACGGGGCGGGAACCACCCTGTGGAGCCCGCACCTGTGGGGGCAGCGAAAGGTAGAATTAACGAGATGTGACCAGAGAGAGAAAGCAGCCTCTGGGCTGAGACCCTGACAGACCCCGAAGTGCCCCACAGATCTGCGATGGACTGGGGGTTCCACCAGCCCCCCTCGCCCCAGCACGAGGCCTTTCTCCACTGAGAGCAGCCCAAATGCAGGGGGCGGGCCATGAGAGGGTCTCGGCACAGACTTGAACCTGCTCTTATTTCCAAAGAAAAGAGAAAAGCAGGCCTGGGTGTCAGGGTCTCCTCTGCTCTGTGCCTCCCCTGCCCCCCAACCTGGCCTGGCCCTTAGGGGGAGAGCCCCCTCCACCCACCTGCCCCAACCCCAGCCTGGCGGTTTTGGCTAAGCCAGGAACCACAGTGCTAACTGGGGCACAGTGATTGACAGCTCTACAAAAACCTGCAGCCACCCCAGGGCTCGGGGCAGCAGCAGGAGACGGGGACACCGACCCGGCCAAGGGGTGCCGCTGGGTGCTGAGGAGCAGCCCGAGCAGGGTCGGCAGGGGTGGGCCAGGTGTTGGGAAGGACGTCCAAACCCAGCCCTGGGGCCTGGGGGCAGGAGGCCCCTGTGGGGCCAGGGGCCCCGGTGGGCGTGTCTGTGAGCAGAGCAGCCTTGGTGTCTCCCCGTCTCCCCGGGGACCCGGCCGAGGGGATTTCTGCAGCCTCGGCTCGGGGCCCACTCACTGTGCTATGCTTACTTCGATCACTGGGGCCAGGGCACCCTGGTCACCGTCTCCTCAGGTGAGTTGGCGTCTACTGTCCGACCGGGACAGGTGGGGGGGCCGCAGGCTCAGGAGTGCCGGAGCCAGGTGTCCCTTTGGTCTCAGACGTGGGACAGGAGGGAGGGGTGCGTTTTTGTGAGGCAGGAGGCTGTGCTGTCCGACTGCCTCCTCCCAGCCTGGGGTCCGGGGGCCTGGGCAGGGAAGCAGCCTGGGGTCCGGGGGCAGGTTTATGTCTGGGGGGCCTGGGAATTGTGTCCCCGTGCGATGCTTTTGATGTGTGGGGCCAAGGGACCCTGGTCACCGTCTCCCAAGGTGAGTCCCCACCTCTCTCCTCTCTCCTCTTTCCTCTTTCCTCTCTCCTCTCTCCTCTGTCCGGGGCAGGAAAGGACTTTCCAGAGATTTAACTTTTTTCTCTGTGTGGGGCCCCTCAGGGGGCTGCCCCTGCGGCCACTGGGGTCTCCGCTCTGCAGACGGCCTCCGGAGGGGGACAGGGCGGTGGAGGCAGAGAGGGCTGTGAGCCTCGGGGTGCGGAGTCCTGAGGAGAGGGGTTTGCGGGGGTGGCTGGTGCCAGGCGGGGCCGGGTTTTTGTACGTGGCCTCAGGGAGCCCAGGGCAATGTGACTACTTTGACTACTGGGGCCAGGGCACCATGGTCACCGTCTCCTCAGGTGAGTCTCCCACCCTCTCTCTCTCCTCTCTCTCTTGGAGGGTTTTTGATGCTTTTTGGGGAAAATGAGTGTGTTTGGGTCTCCGGTCCAGGAGGACCGGGGCAGCCTGGGGACTCAGGAAGGAGCCGGGGGCACCATGGCTCCCTGGGCGCAGAGGACGATTCAGAGTCTCTCCTCCGGGCTCTGCAGCCGGGGGTCTCTCTGGGTCTCGGCCACCCTTGGCCTCCGGGCCCTGTGGTCCCCTCTGCCCTCCTGGGCGCAACCTGAGGTGGACGTGAGGCCCGAGCTGGGCACCGGTTCTTGCCCGGGACCCGGGCGCGGTTGTCACAATGTGACGACCCGTTTGAATACTGGGGCCAGGGCACCCTGGTCACCGTCTCCTCAGGTGAGTCCTCACGCCGCCCCACTGCGGCTGCACTTGGGGAGGTCAGGGGTCGGGTCTGGATATCGGAGACGCCGAGGCATTTTGGGGGTCAGGAAAGGGAGCCGGGGAGAGGGTCCCCCCAGTGGGGCTGGAGACCGATCTCCCCTCCCCGAGGACAGCGACATGAGACTGCAGAGGCAACGTGACAGCCCGGCCCGGCCCTGTGGGCTCCGCCGTGCCCGCTTCGGCAGTGGCCGGTGCATCGCTGGGACTTGTGAGTCCGGTCAAGGCTGTGGGCTCAGGGCCCGGGGCCGGGCAGCCGGGGATCCGGCTTCGTGGGGCCAGGTTCGGGGACCAGCTGGCTGAGGGGCTCAGGACCCCCCGGACCACAGGGACTTGGGTGGTCGGCTTCCCCATGGCGCCCGGAGACAGTGCAGGTCCCCGGGCAGCCTCCGGCGATGCCGGGCCAGCGCCCCCCCGCCCCCGTTTTTGTGGGGTGAGGATGGAGATTGCACCGTTGTGATTACTACAGTATGGACTACTGGGGCCAGGGGACCCTGGTCACCGTCTCCTCAGGTAAGAACGCTGGCCCTTCTCGGGCCTTTCTTTTCTGTTCCTCTGGGTGGGTCTTTCTGGGCACCAGTGGCTGGGCCTCGGGACGTGTCCCCCCGGCCGGGGGCCGGGGCAGGCCGACCAGGGAGGACAGGGGCCGGGGCGCAGGGACCTCAGAGCCTCTGGATTTTCGGGCGCCTTTTGGAGACTGAACTAGCGCGCTTGTCTGGGAGTCACTGAGCCCCTGAAAGAGGCTGCCGGCCTGAGGGGCCGCGCCGGGGCGAGCGGTCGGGCCGGCCGAGGGCCAGCGGGGCCGCGGGACATTCTCGCGGTCAGAATCGGGTGTTTGCAGAACCAGGAGCCGGCGGCTCAGGGGAACACTGTCCTCAGAACGAGGAGGCAAGTTCTCATTCTTTTCAAGTCCTTTACTTTTCTATAATCTAATTTCTTTCAAGTCTATTACTTTTTTTTAATTTAATTTAAAAATTTCCAGATTGTATTTAGACTTCTTTATTGGCGAGGAGGGCCGTGTGGCCGGGATGGGGCCAAGGCCCGAGGGCTCAGCCGAGGGAGGCAGCTTTTCCGAGGAAACACTTTGCTTGCCGAGTTGAAAGACAGGGTTGGGGAGAGTGTGGCTTTATTTTATTTCATTTTATTTTGTTGTTATTTTTATTTAAATATACTTTTTATTGATTTCAGAGAGGAAAGGAGAGGGAGAGAGAGATAGAAACATCAATGATGAGAGAATCATTGATCAGCTGCCTCCTGCTCAGCCCATACTGGGGATCAAACCCGCAACCCGGGCTGGCATGTGCCTTTGACTGGAATCGAACCCGGGACCCTTCAGTCCGCAGGCTGACGCTCTATCCACTGAGCCAAGCTGGCCAGGGCAAGAAAAGTGTGACTTTAAAATGTGAGAGATTTTCAAGGACACTAAATTTTTAAAAATCTTATTATTTAATTAATAATTGGAAATCATGTCTTTCTGGAATTGATAGTGGTGCCAGTTTGGCCGAGAAACGGTGACTGGGAGCCGTGGGCCCTGATTCAGGGCTGAGTTTTTTGGGTTTTTTTAATATATTTTATTGATTTTTTTTTACAGAGAGGAAGGGAGAGGGATAGAGAGTTAGAAACATCAATGAGAGAGAAACATCGACCAGCTGCCTCCTGTTTGTTTTCTTAATTTTTTAAAATATATTTTATTGATTTTTTTACAGAGAGGAAGGGTCAGGGCTGAGTTTTGACAAAGACAGATGACTTTTCACTGAGCTGAGGGCTGTTCGGATGGAGCGGAGCCGGTGGCGGCGGTGGCTGGGGCCGCGCACCTGCAGCCGCGGCCGGAAGCGGGCCGGCCAGAGGCTATTTTCGGAGGCAAGGAAACACGGTTGACACATTTATAGCTTCTGGTGCTGAGACGTGGTTTCGGGGGTTTTGCCCACAAATCTAAACGTGTCGCTGGAGCCAAACAACACCTGGCGGCTGGGCTCTGCGATAAGGCGGAGGCGCGGGGACCAGGAGTTCCTCTTTCAGCATCTGGGTTTCGCTTCTCGGACTTCGCTTCCCGGCTTCTCATTTATATGCATTTTCAAAGTAACATGTGTGAGACACGAAACCGCCCCAGGGCCGTTCGCCGGGCCCATGTGCCTATTTTTAACCCGCTGGGCCTGCCAGTGGCCCCTCACCGCGCCCCCCGCCCCCGCCACCGGGTTCACAGGGACTGTCCTGTTTCTTTAAGTTAGTGTTTTCTCTCCGTGAGGAAGGGGCACTGGCGATTTCTGGTAAAGGGGCCTTTGCTTCCAGACCGACTTCCAAGTGTGCCCCTGAGGACAGACTGCGGGTGAACCGTGTGGGCTCGGCGAAGCCTGGTAGTCCGTGCACTAAGAGGAAGGCCGGCGGGTCTCCCGGCAGGAAGGGGCCGGGCGCGTGGCAAGGCCTCCTGCGACTTGAACTTGTTTGGGTGGAGGTGGAGGGTCTGAGAGCGGCCGAGCCCCGGGCCAGAAGGTGCAGCCCCGGCTTCCGCCGCCAGCCGGCCGCTCTCCTGAGTCCCCAGTGACCCAGTCCGAGTCCTAGTCCCGAGTGAGTGAGGAGTGGATTTGGAGGAACTGCTGCAGGACAAAGGCCTCCCCTCCTCCCGTCCCCCCTTCTCCCCCCCACCCCCCGGACATGCGAGTGGCTGCCGCTGCCAGCCCCTGGGCCACAGGGTGTGACAGCTTTGCCTCCACCTGAGGGGGGATCCTGGACCACTGGTGCCCAGTGGAGGCGGAGAGCCTGTGTGTGACCCCTCGAGCTGCCCTGTGTGGGTGCCTCCCAGTGACCTCTCCCCAGAGAACCTTCCAGGGAAAAGTGGCCAGTGCTGCCCGTGCCTTCCCGGTGCGGACGGTGTGGCTCAGACAAGCCCGAACCTTGTCTTTCCCTAAGTTGTGAGCACAGCTTCGGTCTTGAGGTCATTGTCGCGCATTAGAAAGTGGCCAGCCTTGTGCTACAGAGCAGGGTTTAGGTGGCGAGATGAGAAAAATGCATTTCCTGGCCATTTTAAGGGATGATTTTTCTCTGGCGGGAACGTGGTTAAAGGCAGAGGCTGATGCTGGGGCACATGGCGGGGAGCCACTCTCCGGATCCAGTGCTCCCCGAGCCCCACCGATGTTTACTGACTTCAAGCAGGGGGGGTGCTTTCACCAGGCTGCTGGGGGGCAGTGACTGGCACTGCTTGGGGGCCGAACGCCAGCCGGAGCAGGGCCCGGGTGGGAGCAGGTGTATCAGGGGAGAAAGGCAGGAAGAGGCTCCGGGAAGGAACTGACCTGGGCTGAGCCCAGCGGCACAGAACTCCAGGGTGAGGTGCTTCAGCTGAGGTGAGCAGGTCGGGTGGTCTGAGCCTTTCTGACCAGAACCACGGGCTAAGCAGGGCTGCCCTGGGCTGCTCCAGGTGGCCTGAGCTGAGCTGAACTGAACCAGTTTGAATTGAGCTTCCTGAGCTGAGCCGGCTGAGCTGGGCTGGGCTGGGTGAGAAGAGCTGGGCTGGGCTGAGCTGGATGAGCTGAGCTGGGTGAGCTGGGCTGGGTAAGCTGAGCTGGGTGAGCTGAGCTGGGTGAGCTGAGCTGGGTGAGCTGGGTGAGCTGAGCTGGGTGAGCTGGGTGAGCTGGGCTGGGTGAGCTGGGTGAGCTGAGCTGGGTGAGCTGGGTGAGCTGGGCTGGGTGAGCTGGGTGAGCTGAGCTGGGTGAGCTTGGTGAGCTGAGCTGGGTGAGCTGGGTGAGCTGAGCTGGGTGAGCTGGGTGAGCTGGGCTGGGTGAGCTGGGTGAGCTGAGCTGGGTGAGCTTGGTGAGCTGAGCTGGGTGAGCTGGGTGAGCTGAGCTGGGTGAGCTGAGCTGGGTTAGCTGGGCTGAGCTGGGTGAGCTGAGCTGGGTGAGCTGGGTGAGCTGAGCTGGGTGAGCTGGGTGAGCTGGGCTGAGCTGAGCTGGGCTGGGTGAGCTGAGCCGGGTGAGCTGGGCTGAGCTGGGCTGAGATGAGCTTGGTGAGCTGAGCTGGGTGAGCTGAGCTGGATGAGCTGGGTGAGCTGGGCTGGGTGAGCTGAGCTGGGCTGAGCTGGGCTGAGCTGAGCTTGGTGAGCTGAGCTGGGTGAGCTGAGCTGAGCTGGGTGAGCTGAGCTGGCTGAGCTGAGCTGGGTTAGCTGGGCTGAGCTGGGTGAGCTGGGTGAGCTGGGTGAGCTGGGCTGGGTGAGCTGAGCTGGGTGAGCTGAGCTGGGTGAGCTGGGTGAGCTGAGCTGGGTGAGCTGGGTGAGCTGGGCTGGGTGAGCTGGGTGAGCTGAGCTGGGTGAGCTGGGTGAGCTGGGCTGGGTGAGCTGGGTGAGCTGAGCTGGGTGAGCTGGGTGAGCTGAGCTGGGTGAGCTGGGTGAGCTGAGCTGGGTTAGCTGGGCTGAGCTGGGTGAGCTGGGTGAGCTGGGTGAGCTTGGTGAGCTGAGCTGGGTGAGCTGGGTGAGCTGAGCTGGGTGAGCTGAGCTGGGTTAGCTGGGCTGAGCTGGGTGAGCTGAGCTGGGTGAGCTGGGTGAGCTGAGCTGGGTGAGCTGGGTGAGCTGGGCTGAGCTGAGCTG